GTAGTTATAGTAGTTATTTAGCTTCTGGATACTTTTATCTCCATATAAAGTGGACAGCTTTTCTACTTCTTCCCTCAGGTAGAGGGATGGTAGGAGAACTCTAACCATCTCGTTGGGAGGCCAGGTATATTTTAAGGGGTTTATCTTCTGAAAATCTTTTGCTTACTTGAATGATCTTTACTTCAAAGAATTAATTCCACAAAAATCAGTGGAATTAGTGTTAACATTTATGTTACCATATTTTAAGTCATTGAGGCAACGATAGCAAAATGGCAGATGCGTACCCCAGACCTTGTTTATATTAAACCTAGTGTGCAAAATTTGTAGCAAATCATACCAACTTATGCCTTTATGCAGTCTTTTAGAATGATGTGTCTGAAACCCTTTTAAGTAGCCTTAGGCGACATCAAACTTTCGTTACTGAGGTTTTGCAATTATGAAGCCAAATACCCTGCATTGCCTTCAGCTAGTCTTTGGGACTAACTGGTCCCTCTGCTGTGTCCCAAAATTTCATAGTTGGTGCAAACTCAAATTGTTCTACATTTCTTTTCTTCTACACTTTTTGCCTTGAAATGCCCACAAAAGTGTTGAACTAGCTGAACTGTTATTAAGTCAGTGAATTGCAGCTTTTTTTTTTTTTTTGCTTCCCCCCTTCCCCCCCCAGCAACCTCTGTTTAATACTGGCTGAGTTTTATCAACTTTATTCCCTGTCGTTTGGTCAGAGGGATGGACAAACCTAGCAGCTTGAGGGTTTTGTGCAACGGCATAAACTGAAAGACTGTGTTTTTTCTGTACATTTGATTATAACTTATTTACGGAAAACTGCTTCAAGATCAGTATTACGATGCCACAGTTCAATAAATACTGCTTGTAGTTGTCTAACAGGCCCTGTTTGACAGTCTACTCATTTGATGTTTATTTTCACAATACACGGCCTTTTTGCCCTTGCTCTTCTGCCTCTGGTTTCGATACTTCCATAATTTGTGCTGTTGTATTGTGCTGCAGGGCTGTGAGCTCTCATACTTGGGTGACTTCATCTTCGAGTGACAAGGGCATGTGTTATGGCAGCAAGTCACTTAAACCCGGGTTTTGTTCCAGCCAGTGAGCTAAAATGCACTGAAACATGTAGAAAAACAATTTTCTTCAGTAAGTTCTTGCTTCGTCTTGTCTTCATACCACTCAGAGACCTTTGCTGTAATTTCAGCTATAGTAGATTCTTGCTCTTCCCCCAGCACTCAGTTGTGTACACTGAAGTGGCTGAAATGTGAAAAAACAGCACAGCACTGGAGTTCTAAAAACACCCTCTTTTTCAGGTCTTGTTCTTTTCTTCATGTATGTGTTCTTTCCCACCTTGCTCTGGTCAGTAATAAGATCTTACAGAAAACTTATGTTGGTTTTTTTGATTGGTTTTCTTTTTTCCCGTGTCATTTAATTGTTTAAACAGCTGAAGAGATAGAGAGAAACTCTTGTGGCTTCTTGTTTGGTTTTCATTCCTGCCTGGCCTGTTGATAGATACCACCTATGCCGTACCAATACTGAGATACAATATAATTTTGACCTATATATATATTACAAATAAAAATACATAAATATTAAAAATTTATTTCTGTGGCTGTGTTTGGTTATTTTATTAAGGGCTAGCTGATGACACAGCGCTCACAAGTGCAGCAACTCTCAGCTTTGGGTGCTGGTTTCCTGCGCTTGCTCAGAATGAGGATCAAGGAAATTACGGACCTGACCTTTCCTCACCTGAAAGCTGTGGTGGAAGTTGTCGTGTCAGTGTGGTGACTGGGGAGCTTTACCATCAGCATCATAGATTATGACTGTAGCAAACCTTGAATTGTGTTTTAAGAGAGAAGATTTTAATTCACTCGTATTTTGAGCATCCTTTACAAATAAGCAGCTAAGAGAGCTGCTTTCTAGAGCAAGTGCTTGCAAGACTTGTCTTCAGTAGCTTCTCAACAGACAAGAAAGGCAAGTTTGGTCTTCTGAACTGAAAGATAAACATCAACTTCTGACGGAAAATAATGTTCCCTGTCATATGCTCTCCTTTTTATTGTTTAGCAGTAAGAATAACAACAGAGTAAAAGTGTTAAGAATTATTACTGCTTTTGGATTGGATCCTTCATCTGGGCACTGGTGGATTTGAACATGTTAAAGGAGGGAAAGACAAAATCTACTCCACAAAAAGTTGGGCTTTTTGAGGGTAACGTAGAGTAACATTTTAAAAAAGTGCTTTGTATTTCTGAGAAAGTTAAGTTCAAGCTCGATTAAAGATAAAAGAAGTTATTGATTGACTGTGGGAAGATGAATAAGGTACATCAGTGATGTTCTCTTTATGCTAAGCAGTGCGTTGCAAACAAAAAAGGACAGAAGAAGATTTTTAATCTGTGAACCCAAGTTAGTCTTTGTTTTTCTTTTGCAGCTGGTGATTTTGTTTTGGTGGTTTTTTTCTGGTGGCCAGACTCTACCTTTCAAGAATTTTCCATGAGTATAAGGAGGATGTGTATCTACCTTTGGAACTGTAATTTCAAAGGGTAGGTGCTGGTGTAACAGGGCCTGGCCATCTGCAAGACTTTTACAAAGGTAGCAACAGAAACTACTTCTGCACCTGCCTGGGCTGTAATGTGAGAAAAAAGCCACCACACATTTGGGTTTTTTTGACATTAGGCTAGGTTGCTTTGAGGAATTTTTCTCAGTATGGAAGGAAAATTTTCAGAGAAGTTGTTGTGGCTTTTTTGAGTTTGTTGTTTAAAATGTAGATCTCGGTGTATCTCTGCGTATCTCTTATCAGTTACCTTTTGGTTGAAACTGTCAGAAGCATAAGAATGCAAAATATTTCCCCTTCAGCTGTGGGATAGAGCTCTGATGCATGAACTTCTCTGGCCACCCAGCTATATTCTGGAATGGTTGTGTTGAGCCAGAAAGATGGTCTTGAATATCTGCCTGCTTCTAATTATGAGAGGGCATCGTGGCACAGAGGAGGTCTGTCTTCTGGGTCATTGATCTAAATGCATTTTTTGCTTCTGCTCTGGTTTGGGTGTGACTAGGGGACTTCAACATGTTGTTGTAAAATTAGGTGTGTTTATTTCCCTGTGCCAGCTCCAAGGATGTCCTTTTCTGGCTGCCTCATACTATGGCTTGATCAGTCTCACTCAGGCTCACTATTTATTTACATACGCAGATGGAGTTAAAATACTTCTAAATTACTAGTTCAGCAAATGAATTTCTGTGAGGAATGCCAGTTTAGCAGTGGATTGGCTTGAATCACTCTGGCTTAATGTTTCTAGTGAAAGAAAGCCCTGCAATGAGATCTACTGAACCCACAGAAACAAAGGAACTGAGCAAGACCCCTGTTTTCCTGTATATATGAGTGTGTTCCTCTGGGTTTTCTTCCTCTTTTCATGACAAAAAAAAAAACCAGCAAAACTTACCTAGGTGGTATTTGCTTTTTACAAGTTAAAACAAGCAAGTGGAAAAACACAGAACTCTCTGTGAATAACTTATTTTTAGTTCATTTATTCAGGATTGAGTAATCCCTGAAATGAGGCATCATGAGTCAGATTATTCATTATAAATTGTAGTAAAATGTTGTAATTTACAAGTTCCTGTACAGGAAAATCACGGAGCAGATCATAATTTTGAAATGGGATAGGGTTTGTGGGTGTGATTTCATCTACTATGAAATATCCAGGGTAGTGATCAAAAAACAATAGATTTTTGAAAGAAAGAAATACCTTTTAAAGGTCTTGCTAGGCATATTTTGAATAAAAAAAGTCAACAATTATTTTTACAATTGAAACTTGATGGATTGAGGCTGTATCTCCAGTGTGGTATTTTCAGGGTTTTGTAGACCGAGTGCCTTATTGTTTAATTTGTGCTGGGACATAAATCTGACCTGTTTATGTTTTCCTGTCTCTTCTGCCTTCTTTTTGTTGCATTTTCCATCACATTTAAGAATATTTTAGATTAAAAGAAAATTACTTTTAATTTCCATGTGTGGAATTTAAGAATACTTGAACCTGATCATTTCATTCAACCCCTTGTTCAGAGCAGAGACGGCTTCTAAGTCGGGTTTGGTGCCTCCGGCCCCGTGCAGTCGAGTGCCGAGTATTTCCAAGGATGGAACTTCAAAAAGTTCTCTGCAAAACCCATTCCAGTGCTTGATCAGTGGTGTGGGGCATTCATACCCCACACACACCGCCTTAGATCTCAACGAAATTTGCGGTGGCTCCTGTGTCCTTTGCTCCTTGTCCTTTTGGTGTGAACCTCTGAGAAGAGCCCAGGTCTTCCAAAGACATAAATGCCCATTAAGGAGCTGTGGGCAGCAGTTAGCTTCTCCCTTTGTCTGGTCTTCTCCAGGCTGAACAGACCCACATGTCTCAGCCTGCCCTTGTATGTCATGTGCTTCAGTCCCCAGCCATGTGTGTGGCTCTTCAAGTATTGTGTTGTTTTTTTTTTATTATTGATATCTATTTAAAACTATAATCAAATGCCTGTTTGTTACTTGGCAAATAGCTAGACCAGACGCTCTAACAAGCCTCTCTTTGTTCTTCCATTTCTGTCATTTATTTCAGGGAAAGTGTGAAAACACTCTCTCAAAGGATATGTGCTAAAAGAGACCTATTGTATAAATCCACACAGAATTCAGAGAATGTAAAATAGTGACTACTCGGTGGGAATTCATCCTCTGTTGCTCGTATGGGCAAAATGAGTCAATTAAAGCATTTCTGTTGAATTGCTTGTTCTTTCAAATCCTTTAATTGCTCAGCTAACTACAGGAAGACTGAAATCTAGAAACCGATGGGAGAAGATCCTGTTTGAGGATATTGTACTGAATTAGTCTTATCAACTGCTTGATTTTGCAAGAAGGTTTTGTTTCAGCTTTTGAAGAAGGTTTCTGTTCTGGCAAAAATGGTAATCACAAATTGCCTCAAGGCAAGAACATTAATCACGAATTGCTTCAATTGAAATTCTGTGCATATTTTTTCCTCCTCAAGGGTGATGCAAATGGTAACAAGCCCCTGGAAATCCATGCTGCTTCAAAGGAAGAACGAGCCCAGAAGTAGAACACCAGATCTCTTGGCATCAAACAGGTAAAGGATAGAGAGTGATATTGAGTATGTGGCTACAGCAGCGAAATAACCTGGAAAAGCTGAACACTTAAAAGCTTGACTTGTAGTTATCTTCATATTGATGAAGAAAGAGGGTCAGATAGGTAGCGATTTTATTTTTCTTAACATTTGTCAAGAATACGCATGCTCCTTAATGCTATTTAAGTTAACTAATCTAAATTCTTCATCTTTAGAGCACAGCAAGTAAATATATGTCTTCTCCAATGGTTCTGTGTTAATTTAGCAGGGCCTAGTTAATATCTTGTTAGGGATTTTGGATGGTTGGTTGGTTTGAGTTTTTTTTTTTCTTTTTTCCTTCCCATTTCTTGCTTCCATACCAAAAACCTCTTTGCCGGTGCAAAGGTGTGAAGGAGGGGAAAGAAACCTCTTCCCTGATGATATGTCTTTCTCAAGATTTGTCAGTGCCGGGGTATAGTGTTCTCTCATGGCCTGTAACAGTTCACTGTGTGCCTCACCTTTCATGTTGATCCATGTCCCTAAGGAGACGTGTTTCACCAATTGGGAATGAGTGATGGAGGAAATGGAGGTGGCATTTCCCAGTTCTCTGAGCCAGAAACTCGAGATTCCAGTTCTGTTTCTGACATGGCCACTGGGCTGCTTTCTAAACTTAAGGAGTCCTGTGGTTACAGTTTCTAGAAAAGCAGAACAAAAACACTCTCTCAGCTTTTTTAAGGTGGTTCAGTTTCATAGGACAAAAACTGCTTTGTATTTGAGGCTTATCATTACTAATGATAATGTAATTGGGCTTCATTTAGTACAAAATATCAGCTAATGTCTGCTCTGTTATCAGTTGATAAGGGATGTCTTTTCTGCAGGTTTGCTAGTTGCTTATCTTTGCCCCATATGATTTTCACATTATGTTACTTATTTTTCATCAGCAGGTCATCCTACCGTTCTAGGGACTCCTCATTATATTTGTATGCAGTGTTCCATTTAGCAGAGAAATCCTGTTTTTTCTCTAACTGCCAACTGTGTAAATAGAGTCTGGATTAAGAAAATTGCACTCAGTTTTTCTTCAGTGCGTCATCACCAGTCGCAAATGTTTGCAGATGTGATGAAATGCACACATGTGCTGAGCAACAGTGTTCCAGTGTTTCTAAAATCATGAACACGCTACTTTATGCTGACAACATGAATGACTGGAAGGAAAAGATTTATGTGTGGTACATGTCTGTCTCTACGAGCATGAGTAGAGCTTTTAAGGCTCTCAGTAGAATTTCTGAACTTCGATTTTAGCTGCCTTGAGAAACTGCCTTTCTCCAATTCTTATTTTCTGGATTTTTGTTTTGGCCTTCAATGCTTTTTGGGTATTTTATATTCACAGGCTGCTTCGTAGCAAGGATGTCAGGATTCAAATCTTAGCGCAACTCCAAGTTTCACCTCCACAATAAAAGCAAAGTTTAAAAGCAAAACTAGTTTCTAATGTTGTGTTTCCCTGAATATATCTTTAATTGCTATGGCTAATTGTCACAAAGGCAAAAAGGCATGTTAACTGGCTGATTTACCGAGAACATTGTTTTTTTCCTTCAGACATATGGATATAAAGTCTTAAAGAATATGCATTTTCCAATTATTTTATAAAATAGCTATGTAAAAAAAAATAGGAAGAACAGTTTTATTTTGAGTAAAGATACCCAGGAGAACCAGGAGGAAGAAAAGCTTCTCTAAAATTCACTGAAGTATTGGGCTTATTGTGGACAAGGACAGAGCTTACTAAATGCTAAAAAGTCAGGAAAATAGAACTTTTGTTTATGTGCATGGAACACTCAACCAATATCAGGGTTCATCACAAGTGGAAACCTGTAAATAGCTTTTATTTTCTTTTAGCATTTCTTACTATGTGCATATAATTTCTAGTAGGTCATTATTCAGTTTTTGAAATGCTAATGCTTTTTGCTTAAGGCAATTGTTTGGGTTTTGGGGGAGGAGTTGGTGTGGAAGGAGAGGAACGAAAGCTGTTAGGAAGGCTTAGGCTAAAGTTGTTTTCCAGACTCTTTGTCCAGAGGATTTTAATCATAAAAATATATTTTGAAAAAAACCTCACTAACCACAGCTGCTGCCTTGGATAGTTGTGGTGGTGCTTCAAGTACCTGGCTGTTGCTGGTTTTGAAATCTGCTTGCTTTACTGCATATTCTTTCTGGAGGAGTTAAGTAAATGGAACGACCTACTATTTGACCTAGAGCAACCAGATGGTGGAAGTTGAATTCAGTATCAGTTTTCAGCTGTTCTGTGGGGGTGGCAATTCGTTACTTCTGCTTGAAATCAAAGCCAGTTATTTTACTTCATGCTCGAGTCCAGATGTGTTGTTGGATTTGAGTGATCCCAAAGGTTGGAGAAGGCCGCTGTGATCTTTCGAAAGACAAATTTGTTTATTCTGAATGAGATCAGTCCTGAAAGTCTTGCTGTATTTTCAACTGTTGGCAGTATTACTTAAATAAATGCAGTCTCATTTTCCTCATAGAGATTAGCCACAGCGTGTGTGTCTGAATTGCGAATGGTCAGACAAGGACAAAAATCACTTTGGGTTGGAGACAGTAACGTACTTCTCCATTCCAAAACCCAGCAGCATTGTACCTCCTTTATTATAGTATGTTTGTCACTGATAATTACATGCAAACTGCAGCGCAAACCACATCCCATGGTGGGAGAAGCTTTATATTGTCCAGCTGTTATGGAGAAGAGTTACACGGAAGTGGCATGGCTTTGTGTTTTTCTATAAAGACAGCATATCTCATTTTCACTGTCTTCGGGTTCTGTATTTATGTAATTCCATTTCTTTGAGTTAAATTACCCTAGCTTTCCAGCAGAGTGAGCGTGATTAGGAAAAAATGCGTTTGGTGGGAATTTAAAAGTATTCTTATTGAGAAGACTGGTTTATTACACAAGATTTCGGTTGGTGTTTTGTTGCTGTGTTCTTTCTCTTTTTTTAGTTCAGCTATAGGAATCAAGTTCTCCGGAGCAGACTTAATCGTCAGTGCTCTAATGTCAGTAGTATGAAGAGTTAAATATTTTTACTAGAAGTAAATTAGTATTGAGACTATTCCTCAGAGAGTTTTTCATCAACTTGCCAAATCAAAGGAAAAATGTTTTAATTGCACTTTGACAGTGGAAAGAGAAGGTCTATGATATTTAATTCTGCTTTCTCCCTCCTTCCTCCTCACCCTTCTTCTCTGTCTCCTTTGGTTATAGGTGAATAAAAACCATAGATATGAGCAACAGTTTCCCAAGAAAAAGAGGAAAACCATCTGAATCCATTTTGATTTTGAATGTGACTAATCTGCCTTCTGCCTCAGGAAAAACTGATGGTGTGCTGCTTGGGCTTCCGGTGTGGAGCCTGTGGAAGGACACTACGCACTTTGGGTCACTCTTAAGACCTTGTCCTCAGTTCTGCAGTGGGACTCAAGTTTGCCCGTGCTTGTCCCATTGCAGGATCAGCACTGCAAGTAGCAAGTCTCAAAATTCCTCGGTCTCTTGTTGTTATTATTTATATATAAAATAAAATTCCGGTCACACAAAATGGTCCTATTTTTTCGCCCTCCTCCTGTCTTCTTTAAACCCGTATGTGTATCTGACGTTTGCACTATCTACAAAGAGTTCTTGAGATGCTGCTGACAATGCCTGTATTTTTTTGAGTGAGGAAAAACTTAAAGTAGCATGATGTTTTGGCTAACATTAGCTAATAGAATTACCACCGAGAACAATTACAATGACTCTTGTGTTTTGTCTGAGTTCTCCCCCTCCTTTTCTATACAAATCTTCTGCCTCATCAGTGCCAGCGGGAGGTATATAATGAAGCATCTGTGAGTTCCTGTCTAGTAGATGGATGGGAATGGAGCTGTTAATGTTTGTTCTTGTCTTTGCTTGAATGCACAGCTCAGTGGGAACCAGAACATGAGGATGGTGGGAACCAGTTATAGAATAACTTGGCTGTTTCCTTATTCCTAGCCAAGGGAGGGGAGGAAGAAGGGAAGCGAAGGGAAATACAAAGGGATTTCCAGCGTTTTGCAGTCTTCACACAATAAATCCCTTTCATTGTTGGTTGCCATTTCCATGAGTCTCTCCTTTGGGGCATGATGCTTCACACGTTACTGTAATCCGAGTAGCTCAGAGCATTTAACGCTGTGTTGGTGAGTCTTAAATGTTCCTAAACTAATCAGCAAATACGAGGAAGGGGGGAAGGATAGAATTACATGTGTGCTAGTATGATATATTAACTTTCTAAAAAGAACTGGGAAGAAGGTACAAAGTAAATCAAATTCAAGATGCTTTTCAACATTTTTGTTATTACTTGGCAAGGTATTCCAGCTGAGCCTATTCCACAGACTTTTAGAGAAAAACAAACAGATCTTGGCAATGAGAATACCTGTCTGTGTGGGCATTATAAAACAGGCCAAGTGTTTTTTGATACTGGCGTAAGGCATGTGTTTGCCTCAGGCAGAAAAACAGCGTCTCCCAACATATTCAGTGCGTGTTTTTATGATTGTTTTAGGCTGGTAAAGACGGATGTTGATTTAGAAAAAAGGAGCAGAGTTCTTCTGTGGGATTTGGGAGTGTGTGTGTTTTTGTTCTTTATGTTAAATTCGCCAACATAGTCCAAACAGGCTTGGGAGGATCAAAGTAGTGTTTTTGTCAATAGTGGAAAGACAACTTGGGAAGTATCAGTCATAGCTGTAACTGCTGTGTTGCACCACTCTTGCAACAGGAGCACAGACTGGTTTCTTCCCTCACGGTTAGTCCTTCAGTTAAGCATTCTTGTATTATTACCATTGAGTTATATGAGAATACAGCTTTAGAGTCCTGTATTTTTTTTCAGTAATATTTGGCACATGCCACATTGGCATTTAAGAACACGATTACTTGGTAATTCAGGTATTTTCACTCCTAGACTCCACCAAGATGTGCTTTCCTCATTCTTTTTGATGCAGTTGCTAGCTGTTCTGTTTCTTTTTACTGCCTCTGAGAGCAAAGTGAAATTCTTCATGTCCAGTCTGTTTCCTTAGCTAATCCTCATTCAAACACAACAGCTTTTAAGCTTTATTAGTTTACATAGGTATGTGTGTGCATGTTCAAAAAATCCTGGGTTAAGTAAGTATCACTTACTTTAAATGCTTTTTACTGGATTGCTCTTCATACTGTGTATTTACACTGCTGCTTAAAAACACCCCAAAGGAGAGACATGAAAACAGAATGTTTTTATCTAGCAGGAAATGACTGCCTTCAAGCACCTGCATACACACATGACGAGGAGATGGTTCCAAAATGCGAGCGAGATAGCCTTAACTGAAATCCTTTCCTTAAGTCTTCTGGTTTTTGCAAATACAGGAAATAAAAAGTTTCATGCTGGTAAGAATGCAAGAGATTGTAAACATTAAATTTACTTGGCACACGCTCTCCTAACAAGGAATAGGAGAGCAATTCAACTGCTGTTCAGATATGTAGGTAGAGATATAGATATAGATATAGATATACACACACGCATGTGCACATACACAGATGCGTGGAACTAATTAGTGCGTGCCTGTGTTATCTTTTGCTAGACATTGCCTGTGGGTATGACAGCATAAGCTAAAAACAGTATATTCCCCACCCAGGTTTCACATTGACAGTTTGATCATCCTTCCACTCGAAGACTGGAGCCTGGGCAACTGAGGAAATCGCGTTCTCCTCTCGGCGCCCTTGGCCATGATGGCTGTTAGCCCCTGTGTTGGGGCCAGGTTGCAGCACTCTGTCTTAAAAACACATCTTTAATCTCTGCATTGTAGAACTGGGGACCGTCAGTTTGGCCGGTGCAGCCCTCAGTGCTCAGCATTAGCTCTCTGAGTAAAGCGGACAGCGTAGCCTCTCCTTTTGCTAGAAAGAACATTACCAACCTGGAACAATCCTGTTAGCCCAGGTAAATATGCACCATCTTGCAGCCTTGAATGAAAACATGGTATTTTGCCACAAGTGTTCATTGCAAAAATCTCAGTAGGACTCGGTGCTCTAAGTGACAAAGGGCCCAGACACAGACTTGGTAGCAGAGGTTGTGACTGAAGTGTTTTGGAGCATTCTTCATTGCATCCACCACCTTTGGGGAGAGCTGGAACTGCAGTGCAATAAAGACCAAGATTGATATGGAGGGAATCATGTTCTAGACCTATGGAAAAGAAAGCCCTGGGAGTTGAAGGGGCTTGCTACTGCCGTGTTCATTAGCTCTGGCAGAACAACCTCAATGTGAGCCCATTTCCTTCAGAGCAAATGTGAGCTCCTGCTGCTTTTTCCTTCCTTTTTTTTTTTTTTTAATTTTGTAAAGGTTATTTTTGTACCTTCCCATAAATCTCAAGCACCTTGTAAAGCCAGTTTTATCATAATAAACTGCTATTGACAAAGAATATTTGTCCCTTGAGGCATGCTGAGGAGGCCTGCACAGCTTCCCTCTGGACCTTCCTGGACGTGGCATCTCAAAGGACGGTCAGCTGTTGCACCTGGATGGCCTGGCAGCTGGCTGGGTCAGCGGCACCACGGAGTGTTTTTGACAGGTACAAAAGCTTCTTGTTTGCAAGGAAAACCTTTGATAACAATATCTTGACTACAAAGCAGAAGTTATTTTAGCAGAAAAGAGGTGTTTCTAATTATGTAACAACCACCTGCCTTCTTAAGTTTGGGCTGTTAGCTGATTCTGTTAATTTTTTGACTGTGGATGGTTCTTAAATTGACTGGAGCTGTCAGCTCTCTCGAGGTCTTTCTGGAAGCAACATTGGCATATTGATGCAATTGTATGGCTTTCGCCTGTTTTATGACGGTGGAGCTCATGGTTTCCACCAGAATGCTGCTCTCATGTGCGTGTTTTCAAGCTGGTGCTACTGGTAGCCACCGTGTTGATGTTGAAAGCTGGAGAAATCCAAGGTGGGCTCAGGAAGTCTTGCAGCTGGTTACCAAACTTCTTCCTCTGTGAACATACGACTTGAGAACTTGGTTTGATAGAGACTAAAGCTATAGGATGTGCTTTACGTGTGGTGTGAGCATCCAGATGTTTCTCAGCAATCCTAACCTGAAGTTCGTAAGACAGGACCATGAAATACAGAGGGGGTCATGTGCTTTTTGGCAGAGGGGGCAGATGCTGGGTTAGGAAGGCTGTTGCTGCTGTCCTTTACCGCCTGGGTTTATCAGAGCTACCCGAGGGGAGTGGCGGGCAGCCCTGCCACCGCTGGGCCGATGAGTGCTGGAGGGCAAAGTGTGAGCACCTCTTGCTTCTGAGCATGTGTTTTAACGTAGCAATGAGTTCAGCAACCCACATGTTTGGATGAATCTCGAAAGAAGAACCTAACTTCTTCCTTCTTTGGCCATGATGGTGTGAAGGCCACAGGACTGTACCACCTCCCGTACTGAAATCTTTCAAAATCTGGTATTCTGGTCCCACTGCCTCAGTCTTCCAAGTCTGAACCTGAAGTACCTTCACTCGACTCCAGGGCGCAGCACCCGTGCCTTTGAAGAAGTCATCTGTTCCTTTGAAAGGAAAATGAGCCACGGCCGGGAGCGCCGAGCTGCCTGCGAGCCTGTTGTGTCCCTGCTCGGCAGAGAGCCGGGCCCTGGGGTGGAGGAGGAAGGACGGACGCCCGGAGCAGAGGTGTGCGGTGATGCTCCCTCCCTGCTTTACCTCAGGGACATCGTAGGAAACCTCTTGTTTTCCCAGCGATGGGGGGGACGCAGGAGCATGAAGCCAAAAGAGTCTTTGTGGCTGTGTGCACGCACCGGTTAAGGGTGGTGGGCAGGCAGCTGTGGGGGCAGCCCTCACCACCTCAGGTTTAGCCCCTTTACTTACTTCTTTTTTTCTGATGTTGTTTAAAATCGTGTACAGAAACATGCAGAGTTAGTGTATCAATTCACGGTGAAAGAAAAAGAATTCTTCCCTTCCCCCCATCCCCTGCCCTAGATTAGGTTCACCAATGCCCTCTCTGTAAATTTAGCAAGATTCAGACTCACTTCCTTTTGTAAGGAGACCTGAAAGAGCCATTTCCTGATTTGTACAGCGCTCTTGTATGTGTCCACTAAGTGCTCGTTCACGCCGTGAATCATAAAGGTAACCTCCGTTCAAAGCAGGCACTGATACTTTGGGGTTGTACCGAAAAAAAGAAAGAGTTTTGTTATTCAGCACAGCATGCTGAAGTCATCTTTGTATTTGTTGAGGAGCCGAACCAGTGGGGTTTATGATTCTTCTGTCTTAAAAGCATTGTTTACAAACTGCCCAAACTGAAACGGGCTGGTAAAAGCACCCAAGCCAGCCCGAAGGAATATGTTTACTGTTGTGTCCCAGGCTTGACACATTTTCCATATCCTGCCAGAGATGAGGAATGGCATCAGGAGCTGTGAGTGAGTCAACCCTGGCCCCCGGTCCGGTGCCAGACATGGTGCTCACGCAGCAGCCTCGCTGGCAAGCCCGGGCTGGCTCGCCGCTCGGCGCAACTCGTAGCATGCTAAGCCCAGCGAAGATGCTGCAGGAAACTCTGCTGCTACCAGCAGCGAAGGACTTCTTTTCCT